AGTACACGAACACCCAGAATGCGCTGTTCCCTATGCAACTTAGATACTAAATCGTTACAGCGCCAACAGCGGTGGGTAGCAGACGGTCGTTGAATGGGGTAGGCCAAAAGGTCATCAGTTTGCCTTCTCCATGCTGTTTTCACAATGAAAATCGAGCGAACGTTGTAAATACGGCTAGAATTTAAATTTTTGTTCGAGTTTACATGCAATCTGCTAATATATTTGTTTATTTTCTGTGCATATACATTTCGTTCGTATTTACTTCTTTCTTTCGTGATCGGAAGACGATTATTAAAAATACAGCTGTAAATTGAAACCACTGTAGTTGCGTATCGTGAGCAATAAGTCCCAACAATGTCGGGCGACAATGAATTCAAGCGATTGACACATTGCCATGAATACACTTGATAACTGCTTGCAGACTTCCAATGGACATTGTTTATGTTTGGACTGTTGAAACAATAGCAAAATAAAGAGTTGGGCAACTACTCTTTTGTTTAGGCTTGGGAAGAACAATGCAAGCTTTTTACAAATAATTTCAGCTGGAAGTACGTTGGTGGGCGGGTGTTGAGAGTTACTGGGCGGCCGTAAAACTTGATGGGCGGGCCGCCCGCCTAAAACCCCTTGTGGAGAACACTGCTATTAATTTACTTGTGTGCTGTTTTAGCGCACATCTGTCTAAAACCATTCACTTTAATATCGGTCAACAAGAAGTGAACTTCCTTGGTTCACTGTTTTATGCATAAAATGTCATTATAGCAGCGGTTTCCATAGACAACACATTTCTCGCTAAAAATAATGTCAATTTTTTTTCTTCATCCATGCAACATGACATGTAAAAATAAAGAAAATGACAATATTTTTACTTTTGTGTAGCATTCCAGGTTCAATTACACGACTGACTGTTTCCACTCTGCATAGCATCAAAATGTTTCAGGATTGTCCATTCAACAAAGCTAGAGGAAAGATTTCAGAATACCAATGAAACGCATTTTGTTTGAATCTCAACAACCAATAGCAAAAATGGAAAGACTAAATACCTTCGGATTCATTGTCTTTTTCACTATTCCTTTTTCCATCCTTGTCGGCAAACATATTTTCTTCATCTGTGTTATTGTTTTCGAACTCTGTATCTACATCATTGTTATCCTCGATTGATTCTGGATTTGTTGCTACAAAAGTGAGAACAAATATTTTTTTAATTTTTGTGTTGTGATATTGTGTGTCAAACCAACAAGAACAGAATGATGGTACAACATTGAAATACATCATACTTTGACTATGTCATTTACATAAATGCATGCACTTTTAATAGAACAAATACTGCCTTTTCTAGTGTATGTAGTTAAATGTATATATAAAATGTATAAAACCAGTTTAGTTGGCTGGTGTAGTCAGAGAAAATTAGGTTCTTGTTCACAAGATTGACATGCAATTTTCAATTTGTAGGATTCTGCAATAAAACTTGTGTATCAGTACTTACTGTTGCATGCAGTGATATTATATTCGGTGTCATTTTTATTAGGACTTATGTATGGCAACGACACATCCAAGTTATTCTTAACTTCTGAAAGCTGGTTACTATGCATTGAAAACCTGACTGGTACTCCGTTTTCATGATCAAAATCTGGACATGTAAATAAAAAACAGTTTAGGAATCAGCCATGGACCACAACAGAAAATAGAATCTTAACAAAATAATGACACCAAAGTCACAAACCAGCGGTTATGCTCCGTGTAACAAATATAAGGGGTATATATATGTATAAATATAAGCGGAGGGGTAACAAATATAACAATATTGAACGGGGAAAAAAAACATGTTTAAATGAAGTCAGCTGCGTGACACCATGTTGTTGTCGGCCATGTTTGTTGAAGACTGCACAAAAGAACAAGGACATTCAAACGGAATTTTAAAAATTTAGATACATGTATATATTACTTGTACTAATATTACGGAGGTTTATACGATATACATTTACAGTCATGAATAAGGAAGTCGTGCAATGAAAAATATCTCGGTCATAGTCAAGCAACGTTCTCCATCGTGACCAAGTTAACGAATTTGTCGTTTTATAACAATCGTATTCCAATCATGTACGTTCAATTGCAACGTATTTATTTTCGAGTTCAAAGCCATGTCATACACGAAATTCCAACCTATCAATTTTAGAAGGATGATATAAGCAGCGTTTTCGTCCGATGTTATTGGTTGTTGACTTACTGAAATACTCATCGGCGTTGTCTGTCACGTCCATGGGTCCGGTGAAATCAACAAACTGTGGTGCATTATATTCCCACTCGGGACCATTGGTGTTCTTTGACATGATTATTCAGTTTTTGTATAACGATGCTTCGTTATTAATAATAAATGACACACAAAAGGTAATCGAAGTCTTCGTGAACACTGACCGTTTCCAAACTTCAAAGCACTCTGTTTTAATTTTGCCTCTTCACCGCGGTCAACCAATCACATTGCAGCATTTCGTCGAATTTCATTGGTCAACAATGAATACCCACGTCTTTTCGGAAACAGTCGATATACATCGGCATGATTCGGAAATTGTGCGGTTCTACTTTTAACTTCCGTGTCAAAAGGTGCCAGACAAGCAGGTAGGAAATGCGTTTATAGTCGTGACGGTCATGTCAAATTCATATACAATATCGTCTTTCACCGAAATAAAATGTAACGTAAGACATTTGTTGTTTTTTCTCCGCGATTTATAAACAAAATAGATTCTGACTCTCTTGGCTTGTTTCACATCATCACACGTCCGTGATCACATCTCGCCAGAGGTGGTCCATAACATGGAGCTCTGTTTTTTAGCTGGTCTGTACCAGTCATGGTGAGTCGGCTGTATAAGGGGCTCGGCAATGTATTGAACACGTACACCGACTTAATATAGCCGGCTGACTGTGGTACCAGTGACAGTCACTTCACGAAGGCTGAAAAGATCATAGAAGTTAGTTGGTACATGTTTGTGTTTGCCAAGAGTAAGTTTATATTGCCACTATGGTGGCTGAAATGAGCATGATGGAAATGCAGTAAATGATATCTATATGCAACAAGTAACCTGTAGAATACTGTGTGGGTAATATTTTTTATATTGATTTTTGTTGCATTTGCAGCAAATAGTTACCAAACAATGAGAAATCTATAGGATTGAATATACCCCACAGCTGGCTTCACATGCATAGTTCATAGTTCATATGGTGCTTACACCAGGATTTAATTACATCACCTAGGCGGTATGTGGTTACAGCTTAATGTTCCAGTAATCGCAAGAAATTTACATGACAATAGAAATTCATTAATTTGAGACTGGCACTCCCATGCAATTAACAGCGAGTGAAATTCCTGGGATTGAAACATATATTTTGAAGTCACTGATGTAGGCAACAAATAACTGCAAGTTGACATAAAGACGAGGTAGTTTATTTAATCAGTGGTCAACTAGAGGCTGAAATTATAATTAATTTGTTTATTTCAATTTCTCCTGACGTAAATAGAATACACTGGTGAAACACGGTAGTACTGTGGTGAAAGGATGTTTTGGGGTGTAGTTTACATTGTATATGGAGTGGTATGA